AAAGCCGGGATAGAAAAATTGCACTGATTGGTTCAGACACAGGGTTTGAAGTTCCGCCTCGTGAGTTTGTCCCCTATCGAACCAACCATCCACCCACCCATCCACCGCTAGTTTGTTACCAATATACGGTTGGCGGACAAATCAGTCTACCAGCCTGCGTACAATCGAACTTATGGTCACCCGAGAAGGTGTGAATTAAACTGCAGAAGAGGAAATGAGGTTGTCCAAATGTGGAAATGAGTTTTTCATCGCGCTTCCCTTTGTGTACATGCCCGTGGGGTGGAGGGGCGCGCGGAGGATGGAGAGTTGCCGGATGGATGCGAGTAGCAAGAAGATTGTTTTAAGTAGAATAGCCGTGATGATGTTGCTTCGTTTGAGGCCACAAACGAAATTGGATCAAGTGGATTCTATAGTGCACAGCATGGGTCGGAGACTCGTTGTGTGTGCGTGTGTGTGTGTGTGTGTGTGTGTGTGTGTGTGTGTGTGTGTGATTATCAAAAGAGGAGTCGGGACTCAGCTACCAGCTCATAATTTTAGTTTCGGACGCGAAACGCATATTTGTTAAAGTTGAAAATGTCTTCTGGATACACATGAAGGTGTACGACGAAAGTTATCCAGTTGTCACGCGAGACTGTATTGAAACAGTAGGGGCCGCTCAAGCGTCCGACACGGTGCTCCATTATTTCGCTATCGTTAAAACAGCTTCAGACAGATCCAGGAGTGTCGTACAAATAACCAATGATAGGGATGTTGTTTCATATTTGTTTGATAGTAGTGAGCGATGTCCTTAATATATTCCAACTATGAAACGAACAGAAACTTGAATAGATTTTCGACCCATGAATGAACGTTACTCGTGTGTAGTGTCCGGTTTCACAATTAAATTGCATTCAACACGTTATTTATCACACCAAAGCGCACGCTCACAACAGTCATGTGACTTCAAATTTCTCCTCTGTTGCAAGAAACTTTAACCCGGATCTAACAGTAGTCAGTGGCCGTGTACTCTTTTTAGGAAGAACACAAGTCACTGAACCGGAACGGGCTGACTGCATTTGTGTAAACAAGATTTACGTGGTCAATGAGTAAAATGCAGATCAATAATCATTAGTCCTATCAATACCGATAAGGTCGATAGCGAAGCCGACCAGTCGTCACGTGATATCCGATGCGAGCGAGCTGTGGGGCTTGAGTTGAGCTCTCATCAGAGGAACCACAAAGCGCTGTTCGATCGCTTACACACAGGTTTGAACATTGGCTGGAGTACCATTGAAGTACCAATTCTATCCACCGTTTTGGTTTCAGACATATCTCAACTACTTGAATAACGTAGGATCGATCTCATTTTTACCGATTCAACTTGGAATTGATTCATTGTACGATTAGTGTTCATCAATTTTGCTGTTCCTTACAGTGTTTATATAATTGGAGTTTTTCTCCTTGCGGAATGGCTATAGGGGGATCGGTTGGTTTATGAAAGTGAATTCATCGTATAGAATCCAGTGAATAGTTCGGGAGGCGCTGTTTGATTCAGTTAGTAAACAATCACTATATATATATACATATATATATATATATCCGCTAAATGCACCGGGATTCGAACCCGAGTATGAGATCGTATCAGTCCGATGTGCTAACTGATATTAGTAAATATCCTAATTTTTATCAAGCTAACCCAGATAATCTTCACGTAATTCACAAATTTTGTCCAGTACGGAGTGAACAAATGTCCATTATTCGGTATGGATATGAACGAGCCCGTAAATTAGCGTTTCCGAATAACTCGGTGTGTGCGTGTGTGTCTGTGTGCTACGTTACGATCGCATTGACCTCACACGTTCAGTCGACAAGCCACGAGGACCGAGGATCGACGGGATATTGATCCGTTTTTGGGGCGATTGATCGAACGAAACAAATCTCCATTGTCATTGACAGTTTCGAATTGCCAATCTGCCACAACCAACTGACTGACCAACTGAAAGACGTCTGACAACAAACTATGACGAAAGAGAATGCGAGGGAGAGAAGCAAGCGGGCGTTTGGTATGTGTGCACACACACACGCGCGCGCGCACTTGCACACTTTGCTTGGCCGTTTGAGCGAACTGCGAAACCCCGCTGAGTTCATTGGTTCAGTTGGTCGCGCTCACGCGTATTATACCGGCACGCGGGCATGTATTCACGCGCACCTGGAGGTGCAGCATTTCATAGACGTAACCAGAGCCCGGCGGGCACAAACACACACATACGCACGCACGCACGCACGGGTGCGTACACACCAAGCTGGTCTTTAATTAACAGCAACATAGCTTTTCACAACACAGACGTACAATGCAATACAAGGTCAGTTCGTCG